CCATGTAATCCAGGCTGACCTAGAACTTGCTGTGTAGCCAAGGCTACCCTTGAGTGCCTGTTCCTCTTGCCTCTGCCTTTCAGTGTTACGATTATGGGCTTGTACCACCATATCTGGCTTTCGAGTAAGAAATTCTACATACTTTATATTATGGGTTTTGCTTGGTTGGTTGGTCGTTGGTTGGTTTGAGTCTCTTCTGGCCTCACTGTGCACATCAATACCCACATACATGTACACATGTATACACTCACAAATAAATAAATCTTTATAAAGGTGGTACATATCTTTAATCCCAGAACACTGGAGGCACAGGCAGGCAGATCTCTGTGTTCAAGGTCAGCATGGTCTACGTAGTGAGTTCTAGACTAGCCAGAAGAAGGAAGGGAGGAAAGGAAGGAAGGAAGGAAGAAAGAAAGAGGAAAGGAGGGAGGGAGACAAGGAGGGAGGGAGGGAGGGAGGGACGGAGGGAGGGAGGGAGGGAGCTTGGAACTTATCAGGCATGGCAGCTCATCCTTGTAATCTTCTACTCAGGAGGTAAAGGCAGGAGGATCAGGGTCATACTTAGCTACATAGGGAGTTCAAAGCCAGCCTGGCCTACATGAGACCCTGTCTTGAACAAAAGAAAGTTATGAATTCTGTTGTATTAGGCCCGCACTGGCTGCTCAGGAGAACAGATGACCCAGAGTAGATGGTACTGTGACTTGGACCAAGATGGTGACAGGTGACAATGGAGGGGAAGGGAAGTAGAGGGAGCAGGTAGGAGGTGATGATGATTGGATGGGTGGAGGTGAGGAAAGAAAAGTAAGGATCAAGGCTGACTCCTGACTCCTGATTCTAGGTCTGAGTGGCCACATGACACTGTGGCTGTCTCCCATTTGAACCTCTCACCGAGAGGCCCTCTACAACCTGGGGTGCACTTTCCCATCCTCCATCTATTCTAATCTTGCTGATTCATAATGAAAACCACAGACGTCTCTCTTTTAGGGCTTCTGGGGGTGGATTTTCATTTAGAATTGTGCTAGGGAGAGACAAGAATTAAATAGTTTCTTTTATTTAGACAGGGTCTCTAGCCCATACTAGCCTCAAACACCTTATGTAGCCTGAGAATGACCTTAAGCATCTGATTCTCCTGCTTTTCTCTCCAGGATTGCTGGGATTACATGAGCCACTATGGTTTATTTGGTGCTGGTTATTTAACTCAGGGCTTCATGCTAAGCAAGCACTTTACTAACTGAGCCACATCTCAAGCCCCAAGAGTTAAATTGAAAAAAATTTTATTTATTATTTTTATTATTTTATGTATATGAGTGTATTGCCTGCATGTAGGTGAGTGCACCCGTGTCATGCAATACCTCCAAGGTCAGAAGAGGGTTTCGGATTCCCCTGAAACTGGAGTTAAGGATGGTTTGTAGCTTCCATGTGGGTGCTGGGAATCGAACCTGGGTCCTCTGCAAGAGCAGTCAGTGCTCTTAACCACTGAGCCATCTCTCTAGCCCTGAGTTAAATATTTTTTTAAATTTATTTTTAATTGTGTGTATATGTGTGTATCTGAATGTGGATTATGTGTATGTGAGTGTGGGTGCCCGAAGAGGCCAGAGGAGGATATGGAATCCCCTGGAGCTAGGCCCTGGAAACCAAACTCAGGACCTCTTAACCACTGAACTGTCTCTTCAGCCCTGAGCTTTAAATATGTTTTTTTTTTTTTTTAAGATATTTTATTATTTTTATTTTATGTGTATGAGTGTATTGCCCGCATTGTATGCAAATGCAATCGTGCCATGCAAGGCTGAAGAGGGCTTCGGATCCCCTGCAACTGGAGGTACAGACAGTTGTTAGCTGCCATGTGGGTGCTGGGATTTGAACCTGGGTCGTCTGCAAGAACAGTCAGGGTTCCTAACAACTGACCCATGTGTCCAGCGCCTGTTTTTTTTTTTTTTTAAAAAAGATTTTGCTTATTTTTATTTTACATGTATAAGTGTTTTGCCTGCATGTATGCAAGTGTACCACATGAGCAAAATGCCTTCAGGGCCAGAAAGGGCTTTGAATCCCCTGGAACTGGAGTTACAGATGGTTGTTAGCCTCCATGTGTGTGCTGGGAATTAAACCTGGGTCCTCTGGAAGAGCAACCAGTGCTCTTAACTCCCAACCATCTCTCCGACTCCATTATTATTTTTAAAAGATTTTATGTATTTTTATTTTATGTGTATTAGTGTTTTTCCTACATGTAAGTGCACCACTTGCATGCCTGGTGCCCATGGAGGCTAGAAGAGGGCATCAGATCCCTGGAATTGGTGTTAAGAACGGATGTTAGCTACCATGTGGGTGCTACGAATCAAACCCAGATTCTCTGTAAGCGCAGTCAGTGCTCTTAGCCGATGAGCCATTTCTCCAGCCCCAAGAGAGTTAAATATTTTATAGCAAATCAAAAATATATTGGTAATAGACCTTATTTCCAGTCTTATTTATTGAATTGAAAGTTAATTCATTTCAGTGTGCATTTACTTTTAATCAATGAACTAATTGATTAATCAATTTGGGATAGGGGTTTGAGACAGGATAGAAATACATAGCACACACTGGCCCTGAACTCATCCTTCTGGGTGCCGGAATTACAAGTGTGTGCCACTATGCTTGGCTTCAGTAAATATTTAATGAGGGCTTCCTCAGGCCTTGTTAAGGGTTAGGAGTACAGGAAGAATAAAACATACCTCTGTCTGCTAGAGGCTCAGCCTAGCACAGGAAGGATACACAGCAAATGTGTCACTTTGTGAGAAGGGCATGGTGGTTACCCTTTTGTGGGACCTGAAGGGCATACAGTTTGGAGAGCTTTTGGAAGGAAAACATGAGTCAGGCATCATGGCATGCACCCGGAAAAACGAGTCAAGCAGGATTGCGCATACCCGGAATCCCAGCATTTGGGAGGCTGAGACAGGAAGCTCGCTGGGAGTTCAAGGCCATCCTGCATTACACAGAGTACCAGCCAGGCAAGGCTACATAGTGAGACCCTGGAGAGAAGAGAGAGAGAGGGAAGACAATATAACAAAACAAGTTAGGCTCAGAATTTGGGAGACTCCATTGTAAACGGAAGCTTACGCTTCACTGCTTTATAGTTGAGGGAATATTTGGAGGGAAATGGCCATGGGCATTTGGCTGGGCTAGAGTAGCTGGGAGAAGGGCAGTTGAACAGGCCGAGTTCTGAAGGATACAGCGTCCTCTAACAGAAGTTACTGAAGTGTAACAAATGCAGAGAAGCCACACGTCCCAAGCACTTAGCTCAAGTGGGTCCCCAGTAATGGAGCACACTCATGTTGCTGGCACCCAGAAGCCTCCCGAGCTTGTAGCATGAAACTTGAACATAGATAGGATCATACAGGATGCCATGGCTTGCTTTTCTTCCATGTGCTACATGTGGGACATTTGCATTGTAGCATGTCTCTGTAGATGATAGCCTTAGTTCCCACTGCTGATTCCACTGTGTCCATTTTATATATCCATTCTACTGCATGTGGGCTATACATGGTCCACACACACACACCACACACACACACACACACACACACACACACACACACACACACCAAGCATTTCTGCTGGTTTTATACCCAAGAATGGAACTTCCGGTTATAAGGCCAGTAAATACTCAGCTTGTATTAGTTTGTTAGTTCTGCTATTAACAGTGCAACAATCTGGGTGACCTAAAAGAACAGACACATAGTCTCTCACAGCTCTGGAGGCCACAAGTGTGACAGGGAGGTTTGGGCAGAGTGAGTCCATTCCCAGAACTGTGAGGAAAAGGTCTGGTCTAGGCATCTTATCTTGGCTTGTAGATGGTCTTCTTTCCTGAGTCTTTTTACATTATCTCTCCTCTATTTGTGTCTCTGTATTGAAATTTACCTTTTTTACACTGGCATGGTGGTGCATGCCTTTGATCCCAGCCCTATGGAGGCAGAGGCAGCTGGATCTCTGCAAAATCAAGGCCAGTCTGATCTACATAGTGACTTCCAGACTGGCTGGGACTAGGGAGACTCTGTCAGAACAAACAAACCACCATCAACAACAAAACCAAAAAAGAAAGAAATTTGCCTTTCTTTACATGCTTTTTTTTTTTTTTTTTTTTTTTTTTTTTTTTGTGCCATGGCACACGTGTGGAGGTCAGAGGCAACTCTCAGGAGTCAGTTCTCTTCTTCCATCGAATGGGTTCCAGGGGTCAAAGACAGGTTGTCAGGCTTGGTGGCACTTTTACCTGATGAGCCATCTCATCAGCACCCTCTTTTGGTTTGTTTGTTCGTAGTACTGGGGAATTGAACCAAAGGTTTCACAGATGTTAGGCAAGCTCCCTACCACTGAGCCCACACCCCCAGCCCCTCACTGATGAATATTAGGCAAGTGCTGTACCACTGAGCCGTACTCCCTAGCCCCTCACTGGTGGATTCTAGGCAAGGGCTTTACCACTGAGCCATACTCCCCAGTGTGAATTAAAGCCCACCTTCATGGCTTCCTTTTATCTTGATCATCTGCAAAGACCCTATCTCCAAATAAATTCACATTCTGAGGTTTTTTTTTTTTTTCAACCTCTATCAGTGCCTAAGAGTTTCTCAAAGTGTCCGTACCAATGTACACACCTGCTATTTGCTGGAGTACTTTGGAGCTCATTCCAGACATCATATCATTTGCCTTGGGAGTGTTTTAAAAGAGGAAAGACTTAGTCCAGTTTACATTTTTAAACAAGTCTATTTGTTCTGTGGGAATGTGAGACAAGGCAAATATTTCATCAGGAAGGAAAAGGCAAAGAGCAAGCCCTCTTGGGACAGCTTGGAGGATGGGCCTTCCAGGTGCCCCGTGGTCAGTGTGCTGTTCCAAGCCAGCTGGACCATAGCTTGCTTCCCAGTGCCAGTCAGGCTCCACGGCTCCTGGCTTCAGCCCCTGGGGGCTCCAGTGTTGCAGAGGTAGAGACCCAGCCAGGACTCAGTCTGTGTTTCTGTCTATCCCTTCCTTGCCAGGACATACAGCAGCTCCTCCAGCTCCAGCAGCTGGTGCTTGTCCCAGGCCACCACCTCCAGCCACCTGCTCAGTTCCTGCTGCCACAGGCCCAGCAGAGTCAGCCAGGTGAGACTTCAGCTCCTCTGATACCTTGCCTGATGCCAGCAGTCTCCCCTCGCCCGCCCCTTGCCCACTTACCACGTGTGTTCTTCCTTGTCTTCCCAGGCCTGCTACCGACGCCAAATCTATTCCAGCTACCTCAGCAAACCCAGGGAGCTCTTCTGACCTCCCAGCCCCGGGCCGGGCTTCCAACACAGGTGAGACTGTCCACTGAGTGTATCCGGTCACCAGCTGCAGCAGGGTCATCTGGGGGCTGAGTGGATGGGACTGGTGGAAGGCTTTCAGAGTCTCCATTACATTGGCCCACCCCACATCCATGGGGGCGCCAAGACAGCAGTTGGGAGACCTGGGGCCCAGCCTCACTCTACCACTGACTTGCTGTAGGAACTCAAGTAAGCTAGGCTCCATGTCTGGGTCAGGTCCTTCCTAGGTAGAATGAAGGGAGTCAAACCAGACTAGTAGTGCTAAAGTCTTTTAAATTATGGGCTCCTTTGAAAATCTGATGAAATATTTAGCTCTGGGGCTTGGGTGGATGGCTTGGTCAGTAAAGTAAGTGCCTGCTGTGCAAACACAAGGACCCAAGTTTGGAGAGTCTTCAGAACCCAGGTAAAAAGCTGAATATGGCAATGTGCGGGAAGCAGCCTTGGGAAGGTGGGATTGGAGAGGGGTGGATCCCTGACACTCACTGGCTGGCCAGCCTCCCCAGATAGATAACTTTCAAGTTTACTAAGAGACCGTCTTTAAAAAAAAAAAGGGGGGGGGGACTGGCGAGATGGCTCAGCAGTTAAGCATTCTGGCTGCTCTTGCAGAGGACCTGGGTTCAGTTCCCAGCACCCACATGGTGGCTAACAACCATCTGTAGTTCCAGTTCCAGGGATCCAGATACCCTCTTTTGGCCTTCTTGGGCACTGTACAACACAGGTGCACTTACAGGCATACAGGCAAAACACTCATACAGAAGGGGCTGGAGCAATGGCTCAGCAGTTAAGCATTCTGGCTGCTCTTACAGAGGACCTGGGTTCAGTTCTCAGCACCTACACGGCAGCTAACAGCTGTTAGTAACTCCAGTTCCAGGGAATCTGATGCCCTCTTCTGATCTCTGTGGCCACTACATGACACAGGTGCACTTACATGCAAGCAATACACGTATAAACATAAAGTAAAAGTAAAAATAATAAAAGAAAAACACACATAAAAAATAAATAAAAATTTAATTTAAAAAGTAGGATTGGAGAGATAGCTCAGTGGTTAAGAGCACTTGCTGCTCTTTCAAAGGACCTGCATTTAATTCCCAGCAGCCAAGTCAGGCAGCTCACAACTAACTGCCTCTAACTCCAGTTCCAGGGGATCCAATGCCCTCTTCTGTCCTCCTTGGGTAGAGAGCAACTGAGGAAAGATGCCCAGGTAGAGGACCTCAGCCCTTCACGTGCATGTGCACACACACCAACAAGCAATTTGCATACAATACACACACAATTTAAATAAATATATATATATATATATATATACTTGTTTTTTTTTTAAAGTTAAATTTCTTAGGGCTAGAGAAATGGTTTAGTAGTTAAGAGTGTGTATTGCTCTTTCGGAGTACTTGAGTTTGACTTCCAGTACCCGTGTTGGGCAGCTCACAACTGCCTATAACTCCAGCTACAGGGGATTTAATGTCTTTGTCTGGCCTTCTTGAGCACCTGCACATACCCACACACAGTCACACACACACACACAATTTAAAAATAAGAACCAGGGGCTGGGCGTGGTGGCACACACCTTTAGTCCCAGCACTCTGGAGGCAGAGGCAGGCAGATCTCTGTGAGTTCAAGGCCAGCCTGATCTATACAGAGAGTTTCCAGGTCAGCCAGAGCTACATAGTGAGACCCTGTCTCTAAATAAATAAATAAACTTTAAAGAAATATTTAGCTCTGATCCCCATTGTGCATCAGAACAAACACATGAAATTTCATGGAGTTTTCAGCCTGTAGGTGAGGAATTCCTTGAGTCTCTTCCAGAACTGCACCTGGAAGGTTCTCTTGAGTGAGACATCTGTTAAGTGTTCATTCATGTCTGCTCCCTACAGCAGGGACCCAGCCTTATCTGGTTGCTCTCAAGTGGATTTCTGAAAGGCACCAGACTTCCATCGTCTCCTCACAAACAGGAGTTCTGACAAGACTGTGTCTCTGTCCACAGTTACAGTGAGCAGGATGGCCCCCTCAGGAAGGGTGCCAGCGCTCAGGCGATTTCAGAGTACTCTTGTTAGTGTCTTGAGTTCTAACTTTAATAAGAATCTTGTCTTGCTGGGCGTGGTGGCACATGCCTCTGGAGGCAGAGGCAGGCTGATCTCTGTGAGTTCCAGGCCAGCCAAAGCTACAGAGTGAGACCCTGTCTCAACAAAACAAAACGGGACAGGTATGGTGGTACACCTGTAATCTTATCACTTGAGAGGCAGAGACAGAGGATCAGGAGTTCCAGATCATACTTTGCTTCATAGTGAGTTGAGGACAACTAGGGCTATCTGAGACTTTTGTTTCAATAAACAAACAAGAATCTTGTCCTCTGTAATCCAAGCTATTCAGGAAGATCAAATGGGAAGACCACAACTTCAAGGCAAGCCTGGGTAACTTAGAAAGACCCTGTCTAGGGACTGGAGAGGTGGCTCAGTGACTAAGCACTGGCTACTCTTGCAGAAGACCCAGGTTAACAACTGTCTTTAACTCCAGTTCCAGGGGATCTGACACTCTTTTCTGTCCTCTTCAGGCATTGCATGACACGGGTGCACTTACATACATGCTGGCAATACACTCATACACATAAAATAAAAATTAAAAAAATTTTTTTAAAAAAGAAAGACCCTGTCTACAATGAAAATGTGAAAAGGGGTGGAGACTGGAGAAATCACTCAGTGGGTAAGAATGCTTGCTACAAAACAATGAAGATAATGAGTTCAACTATTCAGTATCGATGTAAAAGTGGAGCATGGCCACAAGTGTGCCTGGAACCCCAGCACTGTGGGGGTAGAGACAGGAAGACCGCTGGGGCTTGCTGACTGCCAGCCTGGCTCCAGGTCCAGTGAGAGAGACTGTGTCAGGGGAATAAAGTACAGAGTGACGGAGCACCCAACATCCTCCTATGGCCTCTGCATACATACCTGGTTATGCGTCCACACAGACATACACCACACACACAACACACATGCGCGCACAGATGCACACACACGTACACACATAGCTGGAGGCATGTGACTCAGCAGTAGAGCGCTTTCTTAGAATCCACCAGTGAGGGATTAGGGGTGTAACCCCTGGAGTATGTGAAACCTTAGTTTTTTAAAAAATATATTTTTATTTTATTTATTATTTTTATTTTATGTGTATGAGTGTATTGCCTGCATGTATGTGAGTGCACCCGTGTCATGCAGTGCCTTGGAGGTCAGAAGAGGGCTTCAGATTCCCCTGGAACTGGAGTTAAGGACGGTTTGTAGCTGCCATGTGGGTGCTGGGAATTGAACGCAGGTCCTCTGCAAGAGCAATCAGTGCTCTTAACCATTGAGCCATCGCTCCAGCCCCATGAAACCTTAGTTTTAATCCCTAGTGAATAAATAATAACATTTCATAACTCTTTATACATCCCACATTCATTATTTTGGCATCATTTTTATAGTTCTTTCAAAAAGTCTATGAAACCTGGGGGTGTAGCTAAGTGGATCGTGTATTTAGTGCACTCAAGACCTTGGATGCAATCCTCAATATCCAAAGCAAAACTAATATATGTGAACTTGGGCCAATGAGATGGCCCAATCCTGATTGCTTGAATTTAATCCCTAAAGCCCACATTGTCGGAGAGAACTGACTCTCGAAAGCTGTCTTCTGACTTCCATACAAGATTCACTTGCATGAACTCATATACATGTACACACAGAGGGTGTATATATTATAATTTATATATATATAATTTATATTACATATAATTTGTTATATATAGCATTTATATTATGCCATATACCATTTTATATATATATAATTTGAACTCTATTAGAAGGACTGAAAAGTTTGGAGACCAATACTGGTCTTGGCTACAGTGCTGAATTCCAGCCTTGAAAGTTAAGTTGTTCTTGTAACAGTGACATCAGAACTCATTTGGCTGCAAAAGCTGCCCTTCCTGCCATGGGAAAGTATCCTTATCCTTCCTGGGATGATATTCCTGCTGGTGCCAAACTGTTAATGTGTCTGACTGTAAGTGATGCTGTGACCCTAACAGGGGACTCACATGATCTGTGACATGTTCCAAGTAGGCTTCCTAAAATCTAAAAACCTGATGACTCCAAATACAGATGTTGCTTCTCTGTTCGTCCCTATAATCGCCCTCCCTATCCATTTCTATACTGGAGCTCACTTTGTAGTTACAGCTGGCCTCGAGGTCACAGAGATCTGCCTGGATTAAAAGCATGTGACACAATGCCTAGCTACAACCTACTCATTTTTTAATTTTATTTTTTAAAATTGAATGAGGTTCTTTTAAAAATATTTTATTATTTTTATTTTATGTGTATGCATGTACTGCCTGCATGTATGTAAGTGCACCCGTGTCATGCAATGCCCATGGAGGTCAGAAGGGGCCGTCGGATCCCCTGGATCTGGAGTTACAGACAGTTGTTAGCTGCCATGTGGGTGCTGGGATTTGAAAGCAAGAAAAGTTAGTGTTCTTAACCACCGCGCTCTCTCCAGCCCGTAACTTACTCATTTTTAAGACTTTAGAGCATGGTAGTATCTTACCCCTTCTGAGGGTGTGTCTCAGCAACTGCTTTACCTCAACCCCTTACTGGTGGATTCTAGGCAAGCATCCTGCCCCTGAGTCATATCCCTAGCCTTCTTCTCCTTCTTTTTAAAACTTATTTTTATTTTATTTTATTTTTTGTGAAGGAGAAGTAAAGGCAAGAGTAATTAGCATTACAAGTTCTAGACAGGGAACTAGAAAAAAGTAAGAACAGGGCAATTTTCAAATATTCATATGCAAGTCCATTGCAATTTCTTGACAAGGGCTTCCAAAAGCATCCCTCTATTGGGTTCCTCCTCATTTTTCTTTTGTCTGCCAAGGCCCAGCCTTCTTTTCACATTTTATTTTGAGATAGTCTGGCTAAGTTGCTCAGGTTGATTTTGAACTCATTCTGTAGCCCGGGCTGACCTTAAAGTTGGGATCCTTCTGCCTTAGTTTCTTGTATAGTTGGACATGTGCCATCAGGCCTTTAACATTTTATTATTTTGAAAAAATATGCATGAGTGTTTTGCCTGCATACACATAAGTACACCATGTGCATGCAATACTTGCTGAGGAGCTGGTGTTGTCAGCCATCATGTAGATGCTGGGAACTGAGGAGCAGCCAGTGTTCTTAGCTGCTGAGCATCTCTCCAACCCCAGACCTTTAATTTTTAAAAGCAGTTTTAGATGCACATGGAGAATGAGCTGAAGATCAATCCCTGTCCCCACATGCACAGCCTTCCCATGTTCTACATCTTCAACTGTCCTGGGACTCACATTGCAATCCAGAGGTCTACATTAACACATTATTGCCATGTCTGTAGGCTGAACATCTATGCATATGTGTTTGGAGGACCTTATTTTTTATTTTCATCTCCTAACAACTCAGGAAGAAGAGTAGTAATGGCTGCCTTCCATGGAAGGGAATGTAGGCCCAGGGAGTTAAGACTGTTAGGCTAGGACTGGAGAGATGGCTCAACAGTTAAGAGCACTGGCTGCTCTTGCAGAGGACCAGGGTTCGATACCCAGCATCCACATGGCGGCTGAACTCCACTTCCAGGGGATCTGACCCCCTCTTCTGACCTCTGAGGGCATTGCAGGACGTGGGTGTACTTACATAGATGCAGGCAATACAGTCATACACATCACATAAAATAAAAAAAATAAATAAAAGACTGTTAGGCTGAGCTACCCAGCAAGTCAATGGCAGAGATGGGGGATGAATCCACCGCCCCTGGCTGCAGGCTTTGAGTCCTTAGCAAAACTGAAACTGACTGCTCCTTCTGGGAGTTCACTCTCAAGGAAAGGTGCAGTTCTAGGCAGTTGACAGGAACCAGGTGGGGCAGCCTCCCCAGACATTTAACTATATTAACAATGAGTGTGAGTGTCCTGGGCAAGTGAAGGGGAGTTTGCAGGAAGCAGGTGTGAAAACCATTGCTTAGCTCCATCCCGGTCCTCCGTCCTGCATCCCACCCACCTGCCCGCCCCACCAGGCTGTGACCCGCCCCACGCTGCCCGACCCGCACCTCTCACACCCGCAGCCCCCAAAATGCCTGGAGCCTCCATCCCACCCCGAGGAGCCCAGCGATCTGGAGGAGCTGGAGCAGTTCGCTCGCACCTTCAAGCAACGCCGCATCAAGCTGGGCTTCACACAGGTCTGGGACCACCTTGTGGGCTGGGCAGTGGGCAGTGTGGGGGCGTGGTCAATGGCTAGAGTGCGTGGGAGTGACCTCCAGAGGGCTCGGCCTTGACCTCCATCCCATCTCCTCCCTCTGAACCAGGGTGATGTGGGCCTGGCCATGGGCAAGCTCTACGGTAACGACTTTAGCCAGACGACCATTTCCCGCTTTGAGGCCCTCAACCTGAGCTTCAAAAACATGTGCAAACTCAAGCCCCTCCTGGAGAAGTGGCTCAACGACGCAGGTGAGCCCGAGACTCCAGCTGGGCGCGGAGGGGGCAGGTGATGCGGGGAGAGGGAGGCGCTCGCTCACGCCCTGGCCTTCCACCTTCCCAGAAACTATGTCTGTGGACTCAAGCCTGCCCAGCCCTAACCAGCTGAGCAGCCCCAGCTTGGGTTTCGACGGGCTGCCCGGGCGGAGACGCAAGAAGAGGACCAGCATCGAGACAAACGTCCGCTTCGCCTTAGAGAAAAGTTTTCTAGCGGTGAGCTCTGCGCCTCTGGAGACCCGGAGGGGACCGGGAGGGGTGGTGGGAGGAAGGGCCCAGCTCACGAGCCTTCTGCCCGCAGAACCAGAAGCCTACCTCAGAGGAGATCTTGCTGATCGCCGAGCAGCTGCACATGGAGAAGGAGGTGATCCGCGTCTGGTTCTGCAACCGGCGCCAGAAGGAGAAACGCATTAATCCCTGCAGCGCTGCCCCTATGCTGCCCAGCCCTGGGAAGCCGGCCAGCTACAGCCCACACCTGGTACCTGGAGCCAGGGATTGGGAGGGGAGGGATGGACAAAAGCCTGTATGCACCTGTGTGAAACAAAATTACCTACAACAGAGACCAGAGGAGTTGGTCCTGGGGATATACAGAACATAGTCAAACGTTGTGTGTGTGTGTGTGTGTGTGTGTGTGTGTGTGTGTAGTGTTTTGCCTGCTTGTATGTAAGTGCCCCAGTGATGTGCACTGCCCACGGAGGTGTTGGATCCCCTGGAACTAGAGTTTCAGATGGTTGTTAGCCACCATGTGGGTACTGGGAACCGGACCCAGACCCTCTGAACCATCTCTCCAGCATCTGCTCGCTTGCTTGTTTTGACATTAATTCATTGTGTGTCTGTGAGTGGCCACCCATGTGGAGGTCAGAGGACAATTTTCTTCACACCATGAGGGTTCCAGGGCTTGAACTCAGGTGGTCAGGCTTGGCGACAAGCGTCTTTATGTAATGAGTCATCTCCCTAGCCCAGAACTGTGATCTAAGGTGGTGGGGGTAGGGGTACAAGATACACTGATATAGCTAGACAGAGTTGTCACAGGGACATAACCAGAGGGGAGGGATATGTAAGACCAGGACATGGTCCAGGTAGGAATACATGGATTCCCACCTACAGAGACTGTGAGGTGCCCTCAGTTTAGTTATCAGACATATCTGTGACATCCTCTATCCCAGCTCTTTATTTTTATTTGTGGGAAGGGCTGTGGTATCCAGAGAGGACCCCCTCACTCCAGCACTGTGGAGGAAGGAGGGACTCTGCGCTGACACACAGACAACAAAAAGAGTTAGCTAGCCATGTAAAGCAGACTCACCCAGGTGACCACATTCTGCCAGGACCAGAGTGCCCAAAGGCCTAGACGCCAAGATGTGCTGGGCCTGCCTACAGGAACTCCCATGATATTTAGTATGGATGGAGCTGCCCATAGATGTGAATGGGTGTGAGAGTGAAGGATGGCTGGGACAGATACCCCACGTTTTACTGTGGAGCTTGAAGCTGAATCATGGGTAGTGAGGACCTAAGGAGAGGGTTTTTAATTTCTAATTTTTGTTTATTTTTATTTTATGTGTAAGAGTATTTTGCCTGCATATATGTCTGTGCACCAGATGCATACAATGCCCATGGAAGCCAGAAGAGGGCACTGAATTCCCTGGAACTGAAGTTACAGACAGTTGTTAGTTGCCATGTGGGTGCTGGGAACCAAACCCAGGTCTTCTGCAAGAGCAGCCAGTGCTCTTAACTGCTGAGCCATCTCTCTAGCCCCTAAGGAGAGGTTTTGAGCTGAGGAAGGACAAGGTCAAATTCTTGGAGGCTTCTGGGGCTGGTGGAAGGGTGAGACTAGAGGCAGAGATGCCATGAACAGGCCAGTGAATGATCCCAGAAAACTGAGCATATGCTGTCTCAACACTGATGTCAAGACCTGTGTCAGTTTATCTTCCGTGCCCCTATCTGACTCCCTACCCCCATGCACACACATAGAGACACAAAAACTTTAGGCCTAAGTCACACTGAATAGCTTATGCCTTGCTTGTCAGCCCTTTTTGGGAGGAGAGGTGAGATCTTTTCTTTCTTTTTTTGTTTCTTGCTTTTTGACCAGGGTCTCCCTGTAGCCCCAGCTGGTCTGGAACTCACTATGTAATCCAGGCTGGCTTTGATCTTGCAGAGATCCGCCTGCCTCTGCCTCCCAAGTGCTGGGATTCAAGGTATGAGCCACCATGCCCACCTTCTTTTCTTTCTTTTTTCCTTTATTAATTAATTAATCAATTTGTTTTTGAGATGGGTCTCATGTAGCCCAGGAAAGAACTAAACTCAGTATGTAGCAGAGGATGACACTGAAGTCCTGATTCCACCTCCTAAGTGCTGACATTACAAGCTCTTTTTGAGACAGGGTCTCCCTAACATATAGCCCAGGCTGGCCTCAAACTTACTATGTAATCCAGGCTTGGCAGCCCCTCTCAAAAGGACAAGTGTCTCATTCTAGGAAAGCCGACAGCAGAGGTGTACAGAGCTCTTGTTCGGGCTCAGTCACTACAGACAGGACGTGCTACAGGGACATGAGCCAGGCTGGAGTCAGCTGAGAATCCATCCTTCCTGCCTGTGACACAGGATCGCCTGGGGCACATGCAGGAAAAGATGATGAAAAACCTGTGGCATGTTCTTATCACAGCATGGCACAGAAGCCCTGTCTCCCCACCCTGGGTGTGAGCGAGGAGAGGCACAGAGAATATCATCGGGGAGGGGGGCTGCCTGGAGACAGTGCCTAACCTTATGTCCTTTCCTCTCTTCCCAGGTCACACCCCAAGGGGGCGCGGGGACCTTACCATTGTCCCAAGCTTCCAGCAGTCTGAGCACAACAGGTCAGGGGCAGACCGAGAGGGAACCTGGGAGATCGCTGCATGGCTGCAGTCTGAGGTTTTGGGTAGCCATGGACCTCAAGGCTGAGTCTGGGGGAGGACACAGGGAAGACAGAGAGCACAGGGTAGGCCTGGCATCTTGGAGGTTGCTGAAAGTTGATGCCCTCTGTTTTTGACCCTGGCCTCTGTCATTTATATGCCCTGTGAACTCCAGAAATTGCTTCACCTCCCTGAGCTTCAGTTTTTAGGTAATTATCATGATTGAATAATATATCCATAAGTATATAAGTATACTTATATATTTATATAAGTATATACCTATGAGCGTGCAGGGATTGGTGCTCGGTGATCAAGCTCACCTAGCAAGCTCAAAGCTCTGGAGTTCATCTCCAGCACAATTTTATGGGGAGAAAAAAAAAGGAAATAAAAAAAGGATAACATAATACAGAGGCTCAAGAGATGCTCAGCATTAAGAGCACTGGCTGCTGGGCTCAGTTCCCAGCATCCACATGGCAGCTCACAACCATCTGTAACTCCTGTTCCAGGGGATCTGATGCCCTCTTCTGGCCTCTAAAGGCACTGCATGCATGTGGTGCACTTATATACATGCAGGCAAAATACTCATATACATAAAATAAAAGTAAATGATAAAAAATTAAAGAATAGCATAAAGCAAATGACATATTGCCCCTCTCATGTTAAGAAATAATAAGTAGCCAGGTGTGGTGGCACATACCTTTAATCCCAGCACTCTGGAAGCAGAGATAGGCAGATCTCTGAGTTCCAGGCCAGCCTGGTCTACACAGCAACTTCCAGGCCAGCTGGGGCTACAGGGAGACCCCGTCTCAAACAAAAACACAAAAAAGAAGCAAAAAGTGCATTGACTGACTTAATTCTCAATCTTGTTTTATTAGTGAGGTCTCATAATTCCCGTTTTCCATGAGGGAACTGAAGGTCGGAGAGGCTGAGGCATTCACCCAAGGGCACAGCTGGGTCTGAGTCTGGAATCTCTGTTTCCAGCCAGGACAGTTTAGCCCTCAGCAACTCCCTCCTAAATTGCTCATTTCCGAGCTGCCAGCAGCCCTGTGCCCCAGGCCCTGACTCTGGCCCCTGGAGGGAGCCATAGGACTTTTACTCCTCGGCGCCCCATTTCTTGTTCATGCCAAAGTGGTTCAGGGTGTGGTCTGCAGACAGCTGGTGCCAGCCTGGCCTGGCATAGGCTCAGTAGGTGGGAGTTGCTTGTATTGCAATTCTTGTGACGACTGTCATGAGGCAGGGGCACAAGGACTCTGAGAAGGGAGGTGGGGACAGTGTGCCTGTGTTCAGACGGAGGAGTTGCTGGTGCACTGGAAGGGGTGACAGTAGGGGCTGACCCTGCCATCCTCAGAGGGACCGGAGGAAGCTGAAGCCCCCTCCCCCCATCTCTTTGTCTCTCTTTGGCAGTTACTACCTTATCCTCAGCTGTGGGGACGCTCCACCCCAGCCGGACAGCTGGAGGGGGTGGGGGCGGGGGCGGAGCCGTGCCCCCCCTCAACTCCATCCCCTCTGTCACTCCCCCACCCCCGGCCACCACCAACAGCACAAACCCCAGCCCTCAAGGCAGCCATTCGGCTATCGGCTTGTCGGGCCTGAACCCCAGCACGGGGTAAGTGTGCAGTGGCTGGTGGGAGGTTGCAAACTGCTTTCAGGGTGAGGCGCTGCACCCCAGTCCTGCCATGGGTCCTTATTCCCGCTAATGCGTCTGCTTTGCTCTTGCAGAAGCACAATGGTGGGGTTGAGCTCCGGGCTGAGCCCAGCCCTCATGAGCAACAACCCTTTGGCCACTATCCAAGGTGCGTGCTGCCTCATGTCACTCCATCATCACCAGTCCACCCCCTCCTGGGCCTCGAGCCCCCTCATTGCTGCTCCACCCATGCCGTCCTGCCCCTGCTCACTGCATTGCTGGCCTCTTCATTCCCATCTGTCTTTGGGGAAAGTGTGAGGGGTGCTAACGGGCATCAGTGGGACAGACCGGGAGACAAGGGCCACTGGGACAGGACACAGGGAGGCGAAGGTCTCCCTGGCCTGGTATGCCCCCAGCTCAGCCTCTCTCTCTCCCCATCAGCCCTGGCCTCTGGTGGAACCCTGCCCCTTACCAGCCTTGATAGCAGCGGGAACCTGGTGCTGGGGGCAGCCAGCGCAGCCCCAGGGAGCCCCGGCCTGGTGACCTCGCCTCTCTTCTTGAACCACGCCGGGCTGCCCCTGCTCAGCGCCCCGCCAGGCGTGGGTCTGGTCTCAGCAGCAGCTGCAGCTGTGGCGGCCTCCATCTCCAGCAAGTCTCCTGGCCTCCCCTCATCTTCTTCATCATCGTCGTCCTCCTCCACTTGCAGTGAGGGGGCAGCACAGACCCCTGGAGGCCCAGGGGGTTCCGAGGCTGGATCCAAGGCTGAGTGAGGGCTGGCCATGCCTCCCCTCCCACTCCTCTGACTCCCTCCACCTTGGTCCCCTGCCCAGGAAGAGGGCAAGGAGTTAGGTGGTGGGGGATAGCAGGTCCTTGGAGCAGGAGTGACAAAGGAGGAAAGACCAAAAATCCAACCAAAAAAAAAGGAAAGAAACTAAACAACAAAAAAGAAAACCAAAAATAATCACAACAGAAACCAGCTGTCCTAAAGGAACCAGAGAAGAAACACACACACACACACACACACACACACACACACACACACAAACCCCAAAACCAAACAAAAATCCCCCCACAAAATCAAACCAAAAACTAGTCACGAGCCAGATCTCGGAGTGCTGACCCTCACTGCTACGACACCAAATAAGACCCCCAGCCAGGAGCGGTGCAGCCACCGGCAGGTCGGACCTCATGCCCCCCCGAGCCCTGGCTGTGGGGCCAACCCCTAACCTGCCCCCGCTGGGGGTGGGCGAAGAAGGAACTAGAGAATGTGCCAGCTTGCTGGCTCCAGCCCAAGCCCTGGGCCAATGGAGACAGGGCACTGCCTGGGGCAGGAGGCCCAGGGCCCAGAACCACCTGCCAAATGGTCTTTTCCAGAAGGTAAAAGAGAAAGGGCCGGAACAACCTTACACCAAATATTCAGTAGCTTCATCCAAAGGATGTACAGAATTTTTAGCGTTGTGCTCAACAGAATGTGCCCCTTCCATGTGTCCCCTCTCCCCTGCCCCCCAGCTCTCCCCAACAGGGCAGGGGGTCTTGCTTTAACCCTCCCACCCCCAGCCTGGGGAGAGTTCAGAGGAAGGCCTGGGAATGGCTTTTCGCTTCCTGTACCTCCCCCTTTTCCCTTTGAAGGGTGGGCTAGGCCATTTTGCCAAGTTCCAGCTCTCACAAGTTCCTCCTCAACCTGGTCACCCTCTTCTGCTCTGGAGTCTGTCCCCTCCCCAGACTACAGGGAGGTGGTCATTTCGAGCAAAAGGGGATGAGGTGAGGGCATCCAAGTTGTCTTTCTTTCCATCCTGTCTGTCAGTTTCCCTGAAAAAAACAAAAAAACAAAAAAACTTCATATTCCAGTGCCTATCCGTGGGATCCTTCACGTTCTTTAACATTAACCAGAAACCAAAAAGATTAACTCGCCTCGCTCCGCCCACCCTATTCCCCTCTGACACTGGCAGATACCTCTCCCTCCCCCAACGCCCATGCACACACGCACACACCCCAGTGGTGGGCTCCTCCGGAGGGCCTCCCCATCAGGGTCCATGTGACGGGGACAGTGCCATGACCTGTGGTTTCCCCATGCAAGAGGACGCTGTGGTGGCCACCACTCCCATGAGACCTCCACGAGTCTTGGCTGGACCCTGTATTTGCCTAACCCTGGACATGTCTCAACAGTGGACAGAGGAGACGCTGCTGGGAGCCACCTTACCCTCCTTCTATTGTGGAGGCCAACAAAGTTTTGAACCAAAAAAAAAAAAAACCAACAAAAAAACAACAGAAAACCAAACAAACAATAAATTAAAACTAGAAAAAGAATTTATAGATATATATATATATAGATATATATATATATGGGAAAGAAGACGATGACTCCGAGAACAAGAAGGAGCCGCAAGGTGGAGCCAAGCCCTGCACAGTGGTCCAGGTCCTTGGTCCCCAAGGCGGATGAAGGACGGATGCTTCTTTCTCTTCACAAATACCTCATGGACGTCGTCTTCGGGAAAGCCGGAGGGGGGCGGCTGGGGCAGGGCCTGTCCCTCAGCCAGGGTGGATGGAAGTGGGTGGGTGGGGCTGAGAGAGGGTGTCAGGGACAAAGGGTGAAGAGCCCCAAACTCCCCGCCCCCCGCCAATCAACTGCAAAAGCTTTAAAACAAAAAAAGACAGGAAAAGGAAAGCTAAAGGAATGGACGAAGGAAAACCAACAACTTTTGGGTGGTTTGATTCCCACTTTGATTTCTGTTTCTGTTCTTTTCTGTCTCCTGTGGGTGGGGCTGAGAGAGGGTGTCAGGGACAAAGGGTGAAGAGCCCCAAACTCCCCGCCCCCCGCCAATCAACTGAAAAAGCTTTAAAACAAAAAAAGACAGGAAAAGGAAAGCTAAAGGAATGGACGAAGGAAAACCAACAACTTTTGGGTGGTTTGATTCCCACTTTGATTTCTGTTTCTGTTCTTTTCTGTCTCCTCCCTCTCTTTTCTTCTCTTTCTCCTCCCTGTTCTTCTCTCTTAATCTTCTTCTCTGTGTCTCTCCTTAAACCAAAGTGTTGCTGTTGAAGGACGCGAGCCATTGAAATCAGAGTGGCCCCTGCCCCTGGCTGGGCAGGAGTAGAGTGGGGGAGAGCCGGGCGATGGCCTGGGTCCCTTCCATCCTGGACACTCCAAGGAGAGGCAGCCAGAACCCCAGGCCTCAGCGTTCTCTTTTCTTCTGGTCTCCCTTTTCCCACTTAGGGAAACAAAGCTGTCGGGCTGGGCCACAGAGGGCAGCAAAGACGCTCAGCCACTGCAAGGCCTAGGGGACTTTGCCCCTCCCACCTGGGCAGCCCTGGGGCAGAGGCGCTCATCCTTGATGGAATGGAAGCATCTGCTGAACCAGCTCCCTGCCCTCACCCTACCTCTGAGTTTGTCCATTTTGATTTCCTGAAAGCTGGCTAGCGTGAGGGCCTGAGCCCCAGCCCAAGGGTGGAGAGGGGGCCAAGGGCTCCTAACCAGATAGGAAGACATTTGAACAGAACAGAATGAAAAGAATTACAACCAAAAAAAAAAAAAAA